TTGCAAAATAAGGCACAGCAAAGCTGTGGATAGGTGAGCAATCATTTGGGATTACTTTACCAATATCACAACATTCAGTTTTGTATCTTCCTTATCACGTTTAACTATCTAGAAAAGTGGCATTAAGACTTTTCTCTACGATCCTGAAGTCTTTATCACCGTGCTTCTAGTAGTTCACATTATAAATAATGAGAACCTCATTAAAAATGACTGAAGATTGATTTTGATAGATTGTAATGTAATCTTTAAATCAGGCGTCTTCAAACTTGGCCCTTTTATGACTCATGGACCAACTCCCATGAGTTGGCTGGCTGAGGAATTCTGGGAGTTGAAGTCCGTGAGTCATAAAAGGGCCGAATCTGAAGACCTCTGCTTTAAGTAACAAGATAGGCTGGTTTGAGGTGGGGGATAAGTAGGCCAGATTTGGTTCAGTCAACTGTTATTCTGAAGCAGTTGCATAAGAGGACTAGTCAAAGAGGTCTAATTTCTGAGTCAAAAGGCATTGTCCATTTCATCACCCCACTTGTAACCAGTGGTGGGATTCAGCTGGTTCGCACCGGTTCAGGAGAACCGGTAAGCTAAATTTACCTGAATTGGGAGAACCGGCTGGCTTCTGGAGTCCAGTCTAGACCTCGGAGGCCTCCCAGGCCTAGAACGGCCTACAGGAAGTACATGGATACCACTTACGAAAGTCCATTCTAGGCATCGGAGGCCTGGAGCAGGCCTCCTAGGCCTAGAACGGCCCACCGGAAGTGCATTGATGCCACTTCCAGAGGTCTGTTCTAGGCATCAGAGGCCCAGGCCTGCATCACATAATACAACCGGTTGTTCATGTATTTGAATCCCACCACTGCTTGTAACAAATGGTGGAATTGTGATTAAATCTCATTTCAAAGGTGGTGGAGGCACACCACAGTCTATTTTACCTGTAGACCACCAGGGTGATGTCCTGAAGCAAATGCTCAGAAAGTAGAAGACCAGATTAGGGATAATTTTGTTCAGCAGATGCAACCCCCTCCTCCTGCAGGACAACCACTGCTATGCCTCACACTGCCTCATGCTTGGCTGGGCTCAGCTCCATTGTGATCAAACCCTACACCATTATGATGCCAATGTGATCCTTCACAGTAGATCAGTGGTTCTCAACCTGTGGGTCAGGACCCCATTTGGGGTCGATCGACCATTTCATGGGGGTCGCCAAGCAAGGCTGTCCGCCATTTTTTTGTCCGCCATTTTTTTTGTCTGCCATTTTTTTCCCCTTTTCCGGCGGGTGCCTTACCTCCCTTGGGCTGGGCCAGCTGGTGGCCGGTCTCCTCCGTCTCTGCCGCTTGCCAGCTACGCCTCGGTCAGTGCAGGGGGCAGAACCACGCATGCGCGGCGCTCCCGGGCAGGGAAAGTCCTCGACTTACGACCGGTTGGGTAGTCCTCAACTTACGACCGGTTTAGTCCTCGACTTACGACCGGTTTAGTCCTCGACTTACGACCGGTTGGGGTCGCGGCATTAAAAAGGTTGAGAACCACTGCAGTAGATGAAGGGAATTTGTATCTAAGGGAGGGTTGTAGCCTCTGATCATCTCAGCTTCATTTTCTAACACATTCTTTTAATTTTACGTTCTTGTGGCAGAACATTAAAAGAGTCAGAGAGAATAATCTGATGGAGTAAGGAAGATACCTAATTAATATATGGCATTTTTGCTCAGTTAGTAGAATTTAAGTTTTGAATAATTGTCTTATTTTCTTTTCTTTTCTTTTCTCCTCACTCCTATTTGTCTGACCATAGAATACGGTATGTATGCTTTTCCATTTCAGACTTTTTCACGCTGAGAATTTTTGTGTTAAGCAATGGCAAACAATATTGTCTGACTGAAAAGAGCTTGGGGTTTGGGGGAAAATAGAATACAGTAGACAATACTTCCTCTTTGCAGTTCCCAAAACGAAGGTAAAAAAGGAAGCCTTCACAAGCTTTGTATGTCAACAGTCTGAACATTGGAGCAGTTTACTGAAAAAAAATTGAAGACCCAAAGTTATTAAAAAAGGAATAGGTTTATATTCTCATGACACCAGAGTTAACCTACTGAATGGTGAGCTTACCTTTCCTAGAATCATGGATTCTGGATTCTCTTACCTCCCAGTTACGTAACAGCTCCAAAAAGCTTTGCATGGTTTAATTTTTATTGTTTTAAGAAAAACTGACCACAGGTCAACCTCTTCCTGTCAGTACAATTTCAGCAGGCCGGAAGAATCTACCAATAGGTGTGGTCATATGACATATGTGGATGAAGCCAAGAACTTCAGGTCTTTCCTCTGTTTTTATTTTTCCTCCCTTCAGCAAGTTCTAGACTTGCAGTGTTTCTCAACCTTGACAATTTTAAGGCATGTGGACTTCAACTTCCAGAATTCCGCAGCCAGCATTGCTGGCTGTGGAATTCTGGGAGTTGAAGTCCACATGCCTTAAAATTGTCAAGGTTGAGAAACACTGTAGAGTTTTAAATTTTTTACTTTGTACAACTTACTGAAGCCAATCACTTAAACCCTGTAAAATTTAGTTAGCCTTGATTAGGATTGCTAATTATGACTTCAACCTGTTTAGTTAATTTGGAATTCAGTTCCTTGTACAAGCCCACATGGTGATCCCCACGTTATGTGAATCAAGTCTATGTTTTTCTGATATCACAGAATCATAAATTATAAGATTGCAAGAGATCCTGGAAATCATCTTATATCTCTGCCTTCCCAGTGCAGGAATCCAGTAATATTGCTAACTTAACAGATGGTCATCCAGCATTTGTTTAAACACCTCCAGTGAAGGTTTATGCTACAGTTTTTGTAGTCAATGAAATGATAGGAAATTTTTGTTAGAAGGAACACTGACAGTCTTGGGTCTGTAGGCTGTGATAATAGGGGGTTTGGGGTTGCAAAATCTTGTCTCAGTTTCAGTTGGAATTCATGCCACTTTAAGGAGACTATTCCCTACATCAAAGGAGTAATATGTGGGACCTTTGCAGCTTTCTATCTCTTTAAGAGATGCATGTAAAAATGCATATATGCTAACTGCATACTGTCATGTCTTAATGTCTGAGTATCACAACCAAGTACCAAAAATAGCAAACAAAAAATCCTGATATGGTTAGTATGCAATGCTATGGCCTTCATAAAAATGAAACATTAGCTTCTAATGGAACATTTTATTCTTCTAGCCACCAATGGGAATTTGCGGTAAAATTGGATTCTGTGACACTACAAAATCAGAGCCTTTTCATCCTTTGAAGGCAATGGACTACTTTTCAGACCTGTTTGGAGCAGTAGTTAAGGTATATAAACATATATACATACACATATAAAGGCACGGTCTGCAGAAGGGCAGAAGCTAATAACATTGTCCAAACAAGCCATAGGACAGTGGTGGCGAACCTATGGCACGGGTGCCAGAGGCGGCACTCAGAGCTCTCTCTGTGGGCACGTGCGCCGTCGCCCCAGTCCTAGGCCTTCAGCTGGGTTTTATAAAACCTTTTCACTTTAGGTCTCCACCGTGGTGTACCAAAAAAAAAAAGGTTCAATCA